TTCCCATGTGCGGCAAATACTATTCACTCATCCTCTCTTATCCCCCACCCTCCCCTTCCTTGCCTATAAATACTCCCATGTTGGGAGCTTAAAGGGCATTCTTCCTCTTGTAGAGAAAAGGCTGAGCAATCCTTGTTCTTATAAAGTAAGAGTGTTTTAGTAATCTAGTTCTTGAACATTTCATGTTTATATTTTTATTTTGCATTTATATCAACCATGATGGAGGCTTAGACTCCCCTTGTAGTTGTACTTGCTTTTATTTACAAAGTATTAAGAGAGATAGTTCATCTTTTGGTTGTGATGAAAACCCTCCAAAAGTAACTACCTTTCTTTTACTTTTATTATTCATGTATTTCACTTCCATTGCTTGAGCATCTTTCTTTCTTAGAAGAGTGAAACTCTTCCACTTTTCTAGAGCTTTACCAAAACTGTGAAGGGTGCAAAGTGATTCACTTATTCTTCATTGAAGATAAGCTCTTGTTTAGTTTGCTTCATTTAGTAGCTCCTCTGCTTAGAGGTGAGTAGCACTCACTTTTCTAGATTTGCCAAGGTCATGAAAAGTGAGTAGTTCCTCATTCACTCTTTAGTAAGAGGTGATGAATATGTAAAGATTATCCGGAAGTTATGTTTGTACAACCTCTTCATGCTTTCATGCTATATACTTCACCTGTTCATTGGATGATTGAATGTATCTAGCAAAGTTGAGGTACTTTGTATAACCAAGGGCTCCCTCTATGATACAGATGACTCCTGCATAGAAAAACCCGTTGGTTCAAGGCAAGTACCCCCGCTAGCTCTTTATGACAACCTTTCAATCCCCACCATTATTGTGCTTTATTCAAAGAATGGATCATTAATGTCATGGTTGGATGCCTTATAGAAACACTTGCTTGTTTGTAGACGGGTTAAGTCTCGGTACAGACAATTCTTGTAAACTTCTAGAAAGGTATCAGAATCATGTGCTTAATTCTCACAGTCCATCTTTATCTTTCGATTAACTTGTTGTTGACAGGGGAGTTAATTGAGTTATAAAGCACAAACATAATAAAACGGATACTCTATTACATGTCCTGATCCTCGAGCTAAAGGGTGGCTGTTACATTTTGAGAATCTTATATTTTGTCTAGAAAACTCTTGAAAAGAATCTTCTATTCTATTCAAGAAAATTCCACCACTCCAAACTCTCGAAATTTCTAATTACTTGGTCTCTATTATTACTTACTTCAAAACACCAATCATAGTTCCCCGTGGATTCGACTCCGGACTTAATCGAATTATTACTACAACTTGACCGTCTGCACTTGGGTGTACACATTTCGGATCAAATCAGGAGGGGCAAGGGCTTGAGGGATTTGTGATAGAGAGAGAGGGGTTGGAAGTAGAAATGTCAAAATTCGACACGACACGATTAACCGACACAAATTAAGCGAGTTTTGGTGAGACCTTAACGGGTTTGGATGGTAAACAGATTGACCCGCTAGACACGTTTAATAAATGGGTTGTGTTTGGGTGATACTTGTCAACCCGTTTATCACCTGTTTACCTATTTAAATAAATTTAATATAAAATATAATAATTATATATATATACACACATATATAAAATAGTGAATGAGTAAAGAAAAAACAGCAAATAAAACATTTCAAAAAAAAAAGTAAGGAAATTAGTTCAAAAAAAAAAATGAAACAAAAGTTTTGAGACATTGAATTGTCTTTTCTTTGAATCACACATTGATAGGGGAGTGGAGAGAGGGGGCTTTAGTTGCCTATAAAAGAGGTAGTGAACCTCCTTCTTTTAGTTGACCTTTTTGGTGTGGCCTATGACGTGGATTGTTGGTTGTTGGCTGGAACTCCTCCAATTGAGGAAAATACAGTTGGAAGCAAAAAAGTGGAGGGTAAAAATTTGTTAAAATAATAATTTTTTTACTTTTTTTTTATATTTTTAAATAGGTTAAACGAGTCGTGTCGTGTTACCCGTTTATTAAACGGTTCGTGTTCATGTTGAAAATTTTTACCCGTTTATTAAACGTGTTGTGTACCCGACACGTAACCGTTTAACCCGACACGATTAACACTCCTAGTTGGAAGTGGGGGTGGCAGTTGGGTTGGATGACAGTTCAGTTGCAGGGATCTGAGAGAGAGGGGGGTTGGGGGCCTGGGGGATCTAAGAGAGAGGGGAGGAGAAAAAGTTACAGGTTGGTGTAGAGAGAGAGAGAGGGAGGGAAAGGAGAGGAAAGGAGAAGAGGAGTGGTGGCGGCGGTCGAGTGAGGTTGTTACGCCCCAATTTTCATTAAAGCGTGATTTAATAAAAAGAGATATTTACCCCAAATTCTCTTGCCGATTTACAATAATAATTGAATGAAATGAAACATTTGGTTTTTATCAAAACATATATATATATATATATATATATATATATATATATATATATATATATATATATATATATTATTTTTCAAAAATTTCGACAGAATTTCCTTTGAAAATTGGGCTTTCAACTAGCTAGTAAGAGCATCCCTTTGAGAGCATAACATAATTTAAACTAACTAAACATCCACAACAACATAATTTAAACTAACTAAACATCCACAACATGCCTTCATCCCAAAATATAATTCAACTAAATCCAAGATGACAACTAGAGGTCCACGAAGTCCTCCCATACCCGGATACATCCAATATAAATATATATCACAACTTAGTACACAAAGTCATAACTTTATATTACAATACCCAAAATAATAATTCATATATGGGATGATCAAGTGTACACCATAAATGCCTCAAGACAACCTTTTCAAACACAATGTTTGAGTGCTAACATTTCTACATATGTTCTAAAAGTAAATACAAAAAGGCTCCAAAATATATTCTTTTTAGTCCAAGCTCCCACAAGCATTCCATCACCTATGCCTCAAGATGCATGCTAGTCTCTGAAAATATTAGTAAGGGATGAACAACCACAGCTCAGTAGGATAATCTTTTTCCCAAGCATTTACAAGGTTTTAAATAACAACATTCTACAAGCCATACAAATAAGTAATAAAAGCTTTCTATAACTAAATACATGTGCAAGATAATAAGTAAAACATTTATAAAAATCCCCCAACAACTCATCATTAGAAATATACGAAGTATAAATTAAATGTTTATATATTTAAAGTCAAACCATCATAGCAAATATCATGCATGTCTCGCATATGAACAATATAATCAATAACACCGGTTCACGCATGAACCATCCTCGGGAAAACTTTTGAGTCTTGCACTCTAGGGTCTCATCGGCCTTCCTGCTTTTCAAGGGGAACGTGTAGGGCACAACTTCTGACGCCACATAGGTCATCACCGAAAATCACTACTATAACCAATCCCCTTTAGGACTAGTAGCCGCCTTGACAACCCACTCAATAGACCCCAATCGTCTACTAAGTCAATATCGAGTATACATTTTTCAAAAATCATTATTTTATATATCCATAAATCCTTTTAAAAACTCATGTCATAACCTTGACATTTTATGAAACATATAGTATACTTAAATCTCAAAATTTGTATTTTCAAAGCGACACAACCAATTCCAAGAAAATAAGTCATATATATTATGTGCAAGATCATAACATACTTCAAAACCCCCAAATCATAGGTTTAATCAAATACGCATAACAAACATCAAATTAGGGTTTCAAACTCACAACACTAAAATCATTTTTATACATGTTGGTTCACAATTCATGGCATACTCCACAATAAATCAAGGTTTATAACAAGTATTTTGCCATCAAACACATAGCAGGCTTTAACTAAACAAAATAAATGAGATGCACAATGAAAATGCAAGAGAGAGGAAAAACCTCACCTAGAACTCAAGAATTCCAAGCTAAGATCCTAGGATTTTCAAGCAAGACCCAAACTTTAGAGGCCTTCTTCTTCCCTTTTTTCTTTCCCTTTATCTTCTCTTAGGATTCTAAGAAGGTTTGGGTGAGAGTGGAATGAAAGAATGGAAGAAAAGGGGCTGAAATTTGTGTTTTAAACACAGCAGTTTCGAATTTTTACCATTCATGGGTAAAAAAAATATATTTTTCTCTTTATTACGGTTTTGCCATTAAACATTTTAATTTGATCTATATGACTACGTTAAGGTTTTTCGACGTTTTGGATTCATTTTTAATGTTATTTTAATCTAAAATATTTAGTTTTGTGATTTATCTCAAAACTAAAATTAATTTACACCCGAAACACTAAAAATTATATTTTACCCCTCCGAACCGCTACATTAAATGAATGTCCATTTCATATTTTTTCGGACCTCCCGGATTCACTGATATTATTATTTTGACCCAAAAAAATTTATATTTTTACTTAGTTACCCTTATCAATATTAAACACTTCCAAAAATTAAATTTGACCCAAAAATCAATATGTTAGTGCCTCAAACTCACGCGATTATTCCTGTAATAACAATTCAAAGTTTCTCTCACTATTTTAATCATTTTAAAAATAATAGTAAGTTAATATCATTTATATTTATATAATACATGAGATCTCATAGAGGTAAGGGAAAATAAGGTTTTTTTTGTTGACTTATTAATTTAATTTGTTGTAATATATTTTATTTATATATGCTTTTATTTTAAATTAAATTAAAGGGTTAAAATAGTCATTTATCACTTATGTTAATGCCAGTCATCTATTAACATCGACAAGGGTCCTCGTGCAATTTTAGAAATGCCAGGGGGTCTCTGTGTCATTTAATCAAATGTCAGGGGTGTGAGTGTTATTTACCCAAAAAAAAAGTTTTAAATATACTCAAATTTTTAATTAAAAAATGTTATCAACCCCACCAAATTTTAAATTTTAAATTCAAACCCCCTGCGTTCCTGCAAATCCTAGCGTCATAGTAAAGCCCCTCCGCTCTTCTTCAACGGTAGAATTCATAAAACGGCTGCTAACCCCCCCCCCCCCCCCCCCCTTCTCTTTCTCTCGCGTCTTATTCTCCTCAAAGTCAGACCCTGTGATCGCTCAATCATCTCTTTCTGAGACAACTAAAGCTTGCATTCTGGTTTCTGTTTGTCTGATAATTCAATTCTTTCCGGAAGTAATTTTGAGATCATTTGTTCAGGTTCGTGTTCTAATCTAGTTTTAATTTATGTTGATTTTTAGAATTTTTGAAATTCTGGCTTATAAATTTTATTTTATTTTTACTTTCTTTGGCTTTTTGCAGAATGTTCAAGAACAGTGGCTTCATTTTAGTTTGCTTGCACATTTATGCGTTTTAAACGGCTGTGGATTAGGATTTAGAGTATAATCCCTCAATTTTCTAAACAAACAAATCTACCTTTCGGTTTAAGTAGGTATAATTGCATTAATCTGAATCAGATCGATTTCGATCCGATCGAACTGAGTCTTCACATAATTTTTATTGACATGTACGCTACAGCATGCCTAATCTCGAAAATGATCCCATTTTGCAAGTGGAAACAACATGTGGATCTCTTTTATATGAACTTCAGGTTTTTCTCGAACTGTTTATATACGAATTATTGAATTATTAATGTTCCATTTATCTATTCTTTTAATCTTTCACTGTTTCATATATAATTTATGTTTGTTGCTCACCTTGACAGAAGTATTGTTATTATTTATGAATCAGATTATATGGGATGAAGTTGGGGAGTCAGATCCTGAAAGGGACAAAATGCTGCTTGAGCTTGAACAAGAATGTCTGGAGGTATATAGAAGAAAGGTAGATCAGGCAAACAAGAATAGAGCTCAGATAAGGCAGACAATTGCCGAAATTGAAGCAGAGCTAGCAGCCATCTGTTCTGCAATGGGAGAGAGACCGGTACATATTAGGCAGGTCAGGGTTTGAAACTACGACTAAAACAAATAACAACTTGATTTAAAGGGAGTTTCTTCAAAATATCATTCCCAACTCGTATTTCGTTTTCATCCAAAAGCCAAAAGTAAGTTTGGTTTGGTTATTCCATGCAAACTTTTGTTACAAAAAAGGCTGAAGAACTTTGAAAGAGTTGGTAATATCGGATAAGATTGTGCATGGTCACTGTGAATGATTTAACTATCAATGAATTTTGTGTAGGTAGTCACTATTGTAAGACTATGAAATGACGTAACTATCATGAATTTTCTGTAGCTAGTTATTGTAGTTAGGCCATGAAATGTGATTTCAGTAGAATGCAAACCAGATGGCTGCCCTGGTCTAATTATCATTAGCTAATCAGTAGGCAAGGCTAAATGAAAATTTGGTTAATAGCTAAAATTTATTGTTTTTCCTAAATTGGGAAGTACTAAATTTACAACATCATGTAAGAGCCTTTACACCGAGTCTTTTCATTCAGTCTGATCAAAACCTTGGAAGCTTAAAGGGAGAACTTAGAGCCATACTTCCTCAAGTAGAGGAGATGCGGAAGAGAAAATGTGACAGAAGCAATCAATTCATTGAAGTTTTAGAGCAAATACATCAGATAAGAAGCGAGATTTACAGATCCACTGCATATACTCCTTCCAACACTGTTGTGGATGAAACTGATTTGTCTTTAAAAAAGCTAGAAGAATTGCACAGAGAGCTGCAGGCACTTCAAAAGGAAAAGGTATGTCTTGTACCGCCAGTATCGTGTACTCAAGTTCTTGTGTTTAAAGATTGTTCTGTGACATGCTTTTTCTTAATATTTTCCTTGCACACAGAGTGACCGCCTGACGCAGGTTTTGGACCACCTGAATACACTGAACTCGCTGTGTTTGGTGCTTGGTGTGGATTTCCAGCAAACAGTTAATGAGGTTCATTCTAGTTTGAGCAAGTCTGAAGGGACAAAGAACATATGTAATGATACTATTGAGCAGTTGGCAGCCACAATACAAAGGCTGCAGGAGGTCAAAATACAGAGAATGCAGCAGGTAAATGAAGGTTCAACTTCTTTCCCACGACTCTAAAAGTCATTTTCTTTTAAATTTATAGCATTCATTAACCGTACAAATCGTGACAGCTTCAAGATCTTGCAACTTCCATGTTGGAGCTATGGAATTTGATGGATACACCAGTTGCAGAGCAACAGATGTTCCAGAAGGTTACCTGTAACATAGTTGCTTCAGAACATGAGATTACAGAACCCAACATGCTTTCCATCAACTTCATTAATTATGTGAGTCATTTAGTTTTTGAGAATAGGCCATTATGTTAGGTTTTCACTTTGTTATATCTCGCTATGCTTCCATCCGTTGGGAGTTCAGAGATTTTTTTGAGATAAAAGGGTAAAAAATGCAGGTTGAAGCAGAAGTGTCTCGGTTGGAAGAGTTGAAAGCAAGAAAAATGAAAGAAATTGTCTTGAAAAAGATGTCAGAGCTGGAGGAGATTTGTAGGAAGACACACATGATACCAGAACCCGAGGATTCAATGGAATTTGCTATTGAAGCTATTGAATCTGGTATTGAAATTTGGTATGAGAAGGAATAATGTTATAGATAGTAATGTCAATTTGTCTATGGTATATCTAATTTTTTGTCTTCTTTCTTTCCTGCGGCAAATAAGCTGTGGACCCCTCCAGTATTCTTGAGCAAATTGAACTTCGAATTGCTAAAGTTAAAGAGGAAGCTTTTAGCAGGAAAGAGATACTTGAAAAAGTTGAGAAGTGGATGGTCGCATGCGAGGAAGAGTGCTGGCTTGAGGAGTATTGCAGGGTTGGTTGTTTTCTTCATTGTAGCATTTACTATATGTTCAATTTACGTAAATTTCTTTGCTTTGATATCATTATTGGTGCTTGTTCAGGATGAAAACCGATATAATGCCGGAAGGGGTGCTCATCTTACACTGAAGCGTGCTGAGAAAGCTCGTACTTTGGTTAATAAGCTTCCAGGTACAGTGCATCACACTTAGGTTACCAAATCTCTGGTTTGCTAAAAGCTTTCAATCAAGATACAAAACGGACAAAGGGAAGCTGGATTTCCATCATTGTTCATATTGCGCAACTCATTTGTCAAAATTTAGTTTCATCAAAATTTGCACTTGCAGCCTTTTGTGAAATTGAGGGACTAAGTATTGGTGTTGATTTTGAGTTTGTTAATAAATTTGCTTGTGTTAACTTTGGAAGATTAACATAATAATATTAGAGACAATATTTTGGGAGAAACATAGAGAGGTTAAAAACTTAACCTAGCCCTCATACATCACTTGTATTTATAGGTAACTCATAATCATAAGAATTACACATACACACCCTCTTGTATTTACACATAATACTTAACACTATTAACACTTTACATATACTACACCAATACTTTTAACACTCCCCCTCAAACTGGACTATATATGTCATATAATCCAAGTTTGGAACAAATCTCTTTAAGATGTGTACGACTCAATATTTTGGTAAACATATCTGCAAGCTGATCTTCAGATTTCACAAATAGAGTCGTAATCTCCCCAACTACTATCTTGTCCCGAATAAAGTGACAATCAACCTCAATATGTTTGGTTCTCTCGTGAAACACCGAATTAACAGTGATATGGATAGCTGTCTGATTGTCATAGAACAACTGTAAAGGAGGTTGAACTGGAAATTCAATTTCCTGAAGAAAGTGTAGCAGTCACGTCAACTCACTCGTCGTATGTGTCATTGTCCTATACTCAGTCTCAGTAATGGATCTTGCTACCACAGATTGTTTCTTACTTTTCCATGAGACAACGTTACCTCCTAAGAAAGTACAATAACCAGTGGTTGATCTCCGATCAGAAGGAGAGTCAGCCCAATCAACATCTGAGAAACCTTCCACTCTAACTGAAACAAGGGTCAATCAAGATTACCAGCCAAAAAAATCAAGATACGAACAGAGGAAATTTTGACAACAGGAGAGAAAGTCTCCTTATAATCAACACCATAGGTCTGAGTAAAGCCCTTTGCAACAAGCCGGGCTTTGAGACGCTCTACAGAACCATCCGAATGAAATTTAACAGTGTACACCCAACGACAACTAACAGTTCGTTTATCAGGGGGTAAAGGAACAAGATCCCAAATTCCTATATGATGTAAGACATCCATTTCATCCTCTATAGCTTTCCTATAAATGCTTAGGGATAAATATAGTAGATAATTGAGAGGTAAAACAAGATAAGGCAGGAGATAAGGCGTCATATGAAACAAAATAAGCAATGATATGATTAGCAACACACGAACGAATACCTTTTCGGAGAGCGACAGGTAAAAAGTCTAAATTACCTGATGGACCAGGATCAGAAGGCGGTAAGGAAGATGGTACAGACACCTCAGTCGATGGTCGAGGACGACGAGAGTATACACGAAGAGGTAAAGTAGACAGTAACACAATGGGTAGCGGAATATCTGAAGATGAGGGAAGAGATTATGGTACAAGAGGTGACCCAAAGTTCAGATCCAAGGGTTGAGAAGGTGCTAGAAAATATGGAACAGATTTCTCAAATGTGACATCGGCACTAGTAATGTATCGTTGCAGAGCAAGATTGTAGCAACGATACTCCTTTTGTGTGCGGGAATAACCAAGAAATACACATTTGGTAGCGCGAGGATCAAGTTTATCAAACTCAGGACCCAAATTGTGAACATAACAGACACATCCAAAAATCTTAGGAGGTAGGAAAAATAAGGGTTTATTAGAAAAAATGATAGAATATGAACTTTGTCCATTTAGCACAGAGAATGACATACGATTAATAAGGTGACAAACAGTAAGAACAACATCACTTCAAAAATATTGAGGAATATTCATCTGGAATAACAGGGCACGGATAACTTTCAACAAATAACGGTTCTTGCATTCAGCAACACCGTTCTGTGGAGAGATGTGTAAGCACATGAAGTATGATGAATAATGCCAATTTTACTAAGATAAGCTGAAAAAGGATCAGATTCATATTCTCGAGTATTATCAGAACGTAAAATACGTATACAACAACCATACTGAGTTTTTATTTCCTTACGAAAAATCTCAAATATAGAGAATAATTCAGACCGAATTTTCATAAAAAATAATCAAGTCATATGAGAATAGTCATCCATAAATGTCACAAAAAAGGGGTATTTATTAGATGAAATATTCTTTATTAGACCCTATACATCAGAATGAACTAGACACACGATTATTGATTCTGGACTGAAATGACACACGGTGATGTTTACCAAGTTGACAAGCTTTACAAGACAAAGACGACACAAAACTAAGACTGAGAACTTAGCGTTTCAGATTCTGGAGAGAAGGATGTCCAAGATGACAATGCCATTGAAAAGGAGACAACGAGGTTTATAGAGCCCGAATAGGTGAATCAAGATCAAAGTAATATAGGCCACTGGTTTCATGCCCCGTACCAATCTTCCTCTTCGTCTTGAGATCCTGAAAGATACAATAAGAGGGATAAAAAGTTACAGAATAATTGAGAGAACGGGTAATCTTACTAATGGAAAGTAAACTAAAAGAAAACTGAGGAACAAATAACACGGATGATAGGGACATATCAGGACTCAAGTGAGTAGTCTCTAAACTTGAAATTTTAAAACAAGTACCATTAACAAGAGTAATACTACGTGTGGAAGTAGCAGATTGATTAATAGAGAAAAAACATCAGACACACCAGTCATGTGGTTAGAAGCGCTAGAGTTTATGATCCAGGGACTGCGGGTGAAGGACAATAGACAAGTAGAAGCAATACCTCACTGGGCAAAAAGTAGCATTGGAGGGAGATGGAACAGCCTGTTGCTGGGACAAGAACTGAGCATACTCCTCTCGACCCAGTGTAATAGTAACTGACCTAGTGTCTAGTGGAGTTGACCGAGGTATGGAAGCAACAACCTAGTTGTCATCCTGATAATAAGCCTGATTAGCAGCACCAGAAAATTTTCAATATAAATTCCAACAGAAGTCAATAATGTGTCCTCCACGACCACAGTGAGTACAGGAACGAGATCCACTATGACCTCTACGACTACCCGTATGACCTCCCATACGACCTCCTCGACCACCATGTCCACCTCGATGACCATCACTATGGCTATTAGGAACCACAAGTGTTAAGCGATCAGTGGAGAAACCATGATCAATGCCTGAAGGAGTAAACAATGTAGCACGCTGTAAACGAGAGAAAACCTCAAGCAGTGATGGAAGACTAGAACCACCCAAAATCTGAGAACGAATAGCCTCATATTCAGGTTTCAATCCTACCAAAAACCTAACAACATTCAGGTCCTCATGTTGCTTCTGCCAAACTGCTACATCAGTAGTAAACGGATGATAAGTCTTCATCTTCTCATAGACTCCCCTAACATGAGAGTAATAATCTACAAAGCTTAGAGTACCCTGCTCCAACCGGAAGTACTCCTTGCACACCTCATATACACGGGTAAAATTACCTGTACCATAATACATAGTGGCCTGGGGAGTAATAATCCGCAAGGCTCAAAGTACCCTGCTCTAACCGAAAATACTTCTTGCACACCTCATACACATGGGTAAAATTACATGTACCATAATACATACTGGTCAAGTGATCCTATATCTCCTTGGTAGTGTCAAGGTAGAGTAGAGTTGAACTAATATTAGGCTCAATGCAATTCAATAGTAAAGAAATAATTTGAGCGTCCTCTTGCTCCCACTGATCATACTCAGGAGTATCTTCCTTGGGTTTAGGACCCACCAAATATTTCTTAAATCCTTTACCTCGAAGAAAGACTTGAACAGATCGGGACCATAAAGTATAATTGGTTCCGTTGAGCTTAACAAAGGTCATGGGACCATTAATAAGAGTCGGAGGGAGCAAAGATGGAGTAATGGACCTTGTATCTTGCTTGGGTTCTGTTAAGAATAGTAGGGTAATATGTATAAATTATTAATAGTAAGAAGGTGTATGTGTAATTCTTATTATTGTAGGTTAACTATAAATACAAGTAGTGTATGAGAGTTAGGTTAAGTTTTTAACCTCTCTCTTTCTCTCTAATATTGTGTTATGTTAATTACCTCAACTTAACATGGTATCAGAGCACTTTCGATCTTAAATATATTACCATTGTTGTGGTGGTGTGAATGTGTTATTGTGGTGGCGTGTGTTTGTGTTATTGTGGTGGTTCCTGTTCATCGTCGATTGTTGGTGTGGTGGCCCGATTGCTCGTGGTGGTGGTGCGATCACTGTTATCGTCGACTGTTGGTATTGTTGGGTGATTGTTCATGATGACGGTGTCGTCCCTGTTGATCGTTGAGTAGTGTTCGTGGTGGAGGTGCAATTGTGGTGGTGTGCTGCAGTCCTTGTCGTGGTGTGTGGCGCCGTCGAAGACCAGAGGGTTCTCTAGGAACCTTAACCTCAACGAAGGAGAAGAGGTCCAACGGGTTGGGTTGGATCGGGTCAAGCCCATCGACTTAAATTATTTTAAGTCTAAGTTCAACCCACGGTCCAACTTAAAATCGGTTCGGTCCGGTTCTGAGGGTCCAGTTGACCTGCTTCAGCGGTTCAAGAAGTTAAACCAGCCCAGTTTTGTGATCCAGCAGATAAAATCGATCGGTTCAGCAGTCCAGACGGCTCAACTAGTCCTGTTCAGTGGTCCAGTCTCCTTTTTCAATTTGGTTCAGTCTTCCAGAGGGCTTGGCTTGACCGGTTTAGTGGTCCAGCCCCCTTTTTCAGTCCGGTTCAGTCTTTCAATGGTCCATCTAGAAAAGAAAATTTTTTCGTCGGATGAACAAAAGCCCAACTTGGAGTTGAAGCCCTTGCCCTCCTATTTGAAGTACGTCTATCTTAGGGAAGGTGAAACATTGCCGGTGGTCATTAGCTCTAAATTGAGCATGGAACAAGAAAAAGAACTCGTGGAGGTATTGAGAAAGCATAAAGGAGCAATTGGATGGACCATTGCGGACATCAAGGGG